CAGCAACTGTTTCCTGTTGGGGCCCTAAGGAGCCTGGGTGGGCAGGCGAGGAGTGGCTGGGAGGGGAGGGGTGAGTAGAGGCTGGCGAGGTGTCCCTCGACGTCAGTGACATCGAGTTGGCCACGCCCACTCAGTCACATGACCACCTAGCCACGCCCACCCAACCAGTCATTAGGCAGATCATATTAGTGGTCCGCGGGATTTAAAATTATGAATTTTGTGGTCCCTGAGGTCCGAAAGGTTGGTGACCCCTGATCTAGTCCAACCCCCACCCAAGCAGGAGACCCTACCCCAGTTTTGAGTCTAAGGCTAAGTAAAGAATGTGGTTCTACCGAGCAGCTAGCTGTTGATTGTCATGTTCTAATAGTCAAAATCTCTTGTTTAAAGCAATCACCTTATTTTGCCTAATTTCAGGGCCACTCTGCCTTTTTTTTAATGGCAACCTTCTTTTCCTGTATGACTTCTGATGACCGCCTGGATGAATCTAACATTTTGGAGGTTATTTTGCCCCTGCCTCCTCTTTCCTAGGGATGAGAGTGAAGGATTGAGTCAAAGGCACCCAGCTGGATTTGTACCTAATGTGGGACTAGAACTCCTGGTCGCCTAGTTTCTACTCCACTGCTTTTCACCACTACATCAAACTGGCCGTAAATGTTTGCATTCTCCAGCTCTTTTTTTTTTTTTTTTAATGAATATAGAAGGAAGGAGAAACTGGGGGAAGGGGGCGAAGTAATTATGGGTGAAATTAGTGGTAAAAAGGAGTCAAGGACAGCCTTCAATTTACTTTTGCAAAGTTTTGTCTTCCCAGCTGTGAAGAGAAGAATGGCTCGCATATAGGAAGGAGGCTCAGCCTGGGTGTGTCCTTCCCAACAACTATGAATAGGTGGAAAACTTAAAAACAAAAATCCCCTTGATGGAGGACTTCCTGGCAAAGAGGAAATGAATGGCCCAAATGGGTGTTCAAAGATGCACTTAAACTGACATGTTTCTCCCAAATGGCAAAACAACCTCCCCCCCCACCTTCCCCGCTCTTGGGTGTGGTCATGCTGATTAAAAATAGAATTGATCGAATTCCAATTCTGGGTAAAGGCAAATTCAAAATCAATTTCATGATTAGGATTTAGAAAACAGGGAATGCATCCAACGGTGGCAGGCTTTCAATCTTTTTTCACGATAAAGCAAAACGAATAATGCAAGCCAGCCACGATGATGTATTGATTATTGATTGTGATTAAAATGACATATAAATATATAAATATAAATATATAAAATTAAAATGACATGGAAAGTAATAATTTATTTAAAAGTAATTGCTTCCTTTCCTCTACCTTTCTGTAACAGAAAGTATGTATCGCACACTTATGTGTGTAGCAGTGGTGGGTTTCGAAATTTTTACTACCGGTTCTGTGGGTGTGGCTTGGTGGGCGTGGCATGGCTTGGTGGGCGTGGCTTGGTGGGCGTGGCAGGGGAATTTCCTCCCGATCAGCTGGGACTCAGGAGGCAGAGAATAGATGGTGGTGGGGCCAGTCAGAATTTTTACTACCGGTTCTCCGAACTACTCAAAATTTCCGCTACCGGTTCTCCAGAACTGGTCAGAACCTGCTGAAACTCACCTCTGGTGTGTAATTAGCTGTGTTTCTTAAATTCATTCCTTTTTTGGGACTCACATGACACACTGAATCATAAACTACGGTAACCACAATGGCCAAGTTTGCACAGTTCTTTAGACTAAACTATAGTTGTGCAGTTCATGTGTCATGATGCCCAGCTAAAGTGGCTTATTAGAATGTACAGATAACCACAGAAAAGCATTCTGAAAGCAGCAACAATTAGGAATCTCTTTTGTTTATTATTAAAACAACTGTAGAAGATTTGATACATAGCAGTTTTGCTAAACAAAAAAGGAATAAAAAGTTTCACTAAGCTTTGCTTGGATTGCAGAAAAAATGGGATAACAATTACCCAGAAATTAAATTTTGTATAGCTAATGTGTGAATTTTAGGACAGCCCAATTCTATTTGAAAACAAGCCCTTTTGATTTTAATAAGACCTATTCTCAAATGCAGGGACGCAGAGATGCGGTGGCTCAGTGGCTAAGACGCTGAGCTTGTCGATCGAAAGATTGGTAGTTCAGTGGTTCGAATCCCTAGTGCCGCCTAACGGGGTGACCTTCCGTTACTTGTGCCAGCTTCTGCCAACCTAGCAGTTCGAAAGCACGTAAAAAATGCAAGTAGAAAAATAGGGACCACCTTTGGTGGGAAGGTAACAGCGTTCCGTGTGCCTTTGGCGTTGAGTCATGCCGGCCACATGACCACGGAGACGTCTTCGGACAGCGCTGGCTCTTCGGCTTTGAAACGGAGATGAGCACCACCCGCTAGAGTCAGGAACGACTAGCAAATATGTGCCAGGGGAACCTTTTCCTTTACCTTTTATTCTCAGAGAGATCTTCAAGATAAACATGTATAAAATTGCAGACTTAAGTTTCAGCTTCCCTTTAAAGATGACTTGTATATGTCTTCTGCACAAATATCCAGAGGTTAACCAGCCAATCTAATTAAAACTGTGTTTTAAAAAAACTCACATGCACACAAAACACAGGTTTGAATTCAAAAGCACAGATTTCTTATCCTAGACATTTTAATTAGATTATTATAAATAGATCAATGTCTACACTATACATGTTGGTTCGAAACTCTCAATTGGGAATTCTAAATAAACTTGAGCAAAAACAAATGTTTATCCGCTCTCTTATATAACTATCCAGCAGGAGGGTTTTGGGATCTAGGGATCAGTTTTAAAATAAACTTAGCCATCTTGTGCATTGCCTCAGATATTCCAGACGATGGAGCTGTTGTATAGTCTTTAATAAGATGGCTGATGCAAAATTGTGAACTCTTAAATATGTTCTACTAAATACACAAATAATGATGCTTTAGAAGTGCATATCAGAGGTGAAATCCAGCAGGTTCTCACAGGTTCTGGGGAACTGGTAGCGGAAATTTTGAGTAGTTCGAAGAACCAGCAAATGCCACCTCTGGCTGGCCTCAGGAGTGGGGGGGGGAATGGGGATTTTGCAGTAGCCTTCCCCCAGGAGTGGGGAGGGAATGGGGATTTTGCAGTAGCCTTCCCCCAGGAGTGGGGGGGAATGGGGATTTTGCAATATCCTTCCCCCTGGAGTGGGGAGGGAATAGGGATTTTGCAGTATCCTTCCCCTGCCACGCCCACCAAGCAACACCCACCAAGCAACACCACGCCCACCAAGCCACGCCTACAGAACCGGTAGTAAAAAAAATTGGATTTCACCACTGCTGCATATGATCTGCAGCATGTCAGATATCCTAAAATATGCAATGACAATGATGCACATTATACATGTCTCTAATAAGTGACCAAAATAAATAAGAATTTGCTTTAAAAAGTTCCAGAAGGTAATATATTATTAGTCTTTACCAACAACACGCTAAATATCCGTTCAACTGGTCACTCTTTAGAATGCCACAAGACACTTTGCTCTGTTTTTATATTTAGTACTCATTGGTTTTAAAGTTGGATATAGTAAAAGCAAGTTTATTTGTAACAAGGGTTCTTGATGAGAATATCAAACTATCCATTATTTGAATTATGAGAATTCCTATATTCACTATCATGTTACAATATGACAATGTAAATACCGTGAAATCACCGTCTTTGGTTTCCAGCTTGGATGTCCCCACTTCCTTTCCTCATAACTAGCATTTTATTTATGTCTTTTAAAAATTTCCATACATACCATTTCATCTACTTCGGTTGGGTGAAGGTGGTTTGAACCCAGACATCTTGGTTAATTTGAAATGTTTTTTTAATTGCATTTCTCAAGATGTGGAAATCCTCCGTGGGAAGATCAGGATAAATTCATCCTTGTTTCTTTGGCGGGCAAAAACATTTGCAGTCAAGTTAAGACTTTGGCTTATAAGGTGTTATGGCTGTGATGAATGGATTCTGTTTTTTACACCAATTCATTAACAACAATGCCCTTATTCTGAATTTAATTATCTGTTTCTTACATATCAATAAAAATTATTAATTCGGGGTATTATTAATTTGGGGTAGAGTAGCTAGCCTCGATTCTACCCCAATTAAGTGATTATAGGATCGTAAAAAGGGAGGGGTTTTTTCAGTTTTTGAAATCCAAATTTCTTTACTACCGGTTCTGTGGGTGTGGCTTGGTGGGCGTGGTATGGTTTAGTGGGCGTGGCAGGGGAAGGATATTGCAAAATCTCCATTCCCACCCCACTCTAGGGGGAAGGATACTGGAAAATCTCCATTCCCTCCCCACTCCTGGGGGAGAGATATTGCAAAATCTCCATTCCCACCCCACTATGGGGCCAGCCAGAGGTGATATTTGCTGGTTCTCCCAACTACTCAAAATTTCTGCTACCGATTCTCCGAACTGCTCAAAATTTCCGCTACCAGTTCTCCAGAACCTGTCAGAACTTGCTGGATTTCACCCCTTGTTTTTTTTCCCTTACATATCAATAGATGCCTTAAATACTATACAAAGGAAGGAGATACACAACCAATTTGAGATACAAGCACTTGGCTTATCCCTTTCTTCCCCAGCTTTAATTACCCCTTTCATTTCCTTGATTTTCTTCTTGTACATGTTGCCTTGTCTGTTTAGCATTTATTTATTTTTTTAAAAAAAAAACATTGCCTCCCTCAAAAACAGGATATCATTCACTGTAAAGCTACGAGGAAGAACAACGGTTCACTATCTTTAATCCGAAATATTCATATGTGTGTTTAATCTCTCAAAAGAAGCGCGTATTTTCGCATTCTTTCTCTCTTTTTGCTTTACAAAAGACTTGTGACTCATTTGCGACTGTCCCCAGTCCCGGCGTGGAATTTAAAGGATGCAGATAAATTCTCACATCTTTTCTAGCCAGATCTATTCTGATTGGCTGATAGCCCTTTCCTGCTAGACCAATCCTGGCCGCTCAACGGTCCCCATAGCAACCTGTAAACTCAACATTGATCAGTTATTTTGCTGATCGCAGGGTGGCACAGAGTTGTCGAGAAAGTGTCCTTTTCTTTAAACCAGCTTGGTGTCCTCACTTCTGAGTTGCTCCAGATGATCAATGCCCGGACAAGTAAGAGTGGCCGGATATACAGTCCTGGCGTGCTTCTCGGTAACTGGTTTGAAGATGTGTGCTTAGAAGAGGTAAATAAAAATTCTCCACCCTTTGCACTGTTCCATTCATGTTTGGTCTTTGTGCAAATCTCGAAAGTAACTTAGGGGCCACATTACGAGAGGGAGGTTTGATAGCAAGAGCTCTAGATTTTCCTGATCTTCAGGTTGACTCTTGCAGTCAACCCGAACTTGCTTTATTTACAGCCTGATACTTGCATTATTTCTTTAAACCCGAATTCCACCTCATTCTGCATTATTTGGTGAGTTGTTTGGTGTATTCCAGAAATAGGACTAAATGCGCGTTCTCTTCTTTTTAACAATGTATTTCTCTGAGCCTTTGGCAACCTCTAGAAAGAGGCAGAAGCTGTGGTATCACCTTCCACCCTGTTGCATTGGTTCCACAAATTATTTTATACAAGAATTTACAGCAACTGTGTTCCTCGAGCAACTTCACTGGGCTTGTCTACAAAATACTGTTTGCCTTCGCCCATTTGCTCTGTCCTCATAGGTGGTGTTGGAAGAAATGTCCATATGGGGACTTTCTCCCCAAGTGGGGAGAAAGACACTGGAAACATGGAGACTGTATGGAAAGATGGTTTTATGGTGGACAGGACCACCTGGTTTTGAGGTCCTGGGCAAAAAAGGGAAGAGATGCTGAGAGTCCCTGGGTTTTATATATCCTCTCTGGCTTTGAACTTCCTGGGGCACAGGAAGAGTATCCTGATCGGTTGCTGTCAGAGGTCTTAGCTAGCCTTGCTGCCTGATGTAATCTTCCCAGGTGCCATGTGGGGAGTTTCTGTTGCTAGATGGGTCCTTTGCATTGCAGATGGGATGCTGAGGCCTTAATGGCCCATTGACAAAGCAGAACAGATCAGAACAGATTAACAGAGTTGGAAGGGACCTTATAGGTCATCTAGTCCAACCCCCCTTCAAGCAGGAGACCCTACACCATTTCTGACAAATGGCAGTCCAATCTTTTCTTGAAAGTCTCAAGTGATGAAGCTCCCACAACTTCCGAAGGCAACTTCTGTTCCACTGGTTGATTGTTCTCACTGTCAGAAAGTTCCTCCTCATTTCTAGGTTGAATCTCTCCTTGGTCAGTTTCCATCTATTATTCCTTGTCTGGCCTTCAGGTGCTTTGGAAATCAGCTTGACACCCCCCCTCCTCTCTGTGGCAGCCTTTCAAGTATTGGAAGACGGCTATCATGCTATCATGTCTCCCCTGGTCCTTCTCTTCACTAGACTAGCCATGCCCAGTTCCTGCAACTGTTCTTCGTATGTTTTAGCCTCCAGTCCCCTAATCATCCTGGTTGCTCTCCTTTGCACTTTTTCTAGAAGTGGGGGGGAATGAATTTCTGCCTTCATTTTTTCTAGGAGAGGGGTGGGTTTTAACTTCCAACAGTGGGAAAACCTTTTCATAGTTCTTTTATGCCCTTGTTTTCATTCTTTGGATGGGATTTAGCGATTTGGGCCAAATTTCCTAAGGAGGGAGATTTTATACACCTGATCATGCTGCAGTAATATACAGGATGCATATTAAATTCTAAGTTAAGCTCTTTTTTTTCCCCTTTTAAAAATAGGAATCGTTGAAAGATTTTTTATATAAAAAAGAAAATGGAGAACTACTAATCCAGAAATCACGAAGACTGAAAGATTCTCTTTACAAGAAGGTATTACATCTCAAAATATGTTTGAGGGTTCTCCTAATTCTCTAGAATACTTGCATTTTGTTCCGTACTCATTTATTCCAGCCATGGGGAAGCCAGATTGACTTAACAATTGTGTTAAGAGCCTTGGTGGCGCAGTGGTTAGAGTGCAGTACTGCAGGCTACTTCTGCTGACTGCTGGCTGCCTCCTATTTGGCAGTTCAAATCACACCAGGCTCAAGGTTGACTCAGCCTTCCATCCTTCCCAGGTGGGTAAAATGAAGACCCAAATTGTTGGGGGCAAGAGGCTGACTCTGTAAACCACTTAGAGAGGGCTGTAAAGCACTGTGAAGTGGTATATAAGTCTAAGTGCTATTGCTAAAGTGGGAAGGAAGGGAAGAGAAGGGAAGGAAGGAAGGAAGGAAGGAAGGAAGGAAGGAAGGAAGGAAGGCAGGAAGGAAGGAAGGAAGGAAGGAAGGGCCATGGTGGTACAGTGGTTAGAATGCAGTACTGCAGACTAATTCTGCTGACTTCTGACTGCCAGCAGTTTGATTCGCACCAGCTCAAGGTTGACTCAGTCTTCCATCCTTCCGAGGTGGGTAAAATGAGGACCCAGATTGTTGGTGGCAAGATGCTGACTCTAAAAACTGCTTAGAGGGGGCTGTAAAGTGGTATATAAGTCTAAGTGCTATTGTTATTGTGGGAAAGATAAAGGGGAACTGTGCACACTTATCATCTCCCTTTCTCTTCTCACAAACAGGAGCAGCTTTCCATTTCAAAAGATGGGTATATTCATTTTGGAGACACGGTTCTATTTCTGAACCTCGACGTTGTTAGACTCCCAGAGGAGAAAGCTCTCATTATGGGTGGGAATCTGTCCTTGGCTGTGAATCCTGATATATCGACTCTGTACACTGGTGATAATTTGTCAGCTCCATGTGACTTGAGTGCAATCGAACAGGTGAACCCCATTGGGCGGAATGCATTTCGGATTTTAAGGTGGGACTCTCTGGCAAAAAAAGTTTGGCAGTAAGATGGGGACCAAGCTGGGTGAATAGCTGAGAGGGAAAGGGATGAAACAATGGATGGGGCCCAGATGTCATTGTGGGAGGAGCACAACTGGGTGTTGTGCCTTGTGATTCTTGATGAGTGTATCTTGTCTTTTTATGTACACTGAGACAGGGGTGAAATGCTCCCGGTTCGGACTGGATCGCCCGATCCGGTAGCGATGGTGGCAGGTAGTTCGGAGAACTGGTAGCAAAAATCCCTGTGCCCCCCTCCACCATGTCCAGCTGAGCCGCATGATCATCAGAGGCTTATTTTTTTTACTTTTAAAAGCATTTTTTCTACAATCTCTTCCGACGAAAAAATGCTTTTACAAGTTAAAAAAAAAAGCCTCTGATGATCGCGCGGCTCAGCTGGGATCGTCAGAGGCTTTTCAAAGCATTTTTTTCTGCAACCTCTTGGCCGAAGGGGTGGTTAAAAAAATGCTTTGAGAAGTCTCTGACGATCCCAGCTGAATTGCCTGATCGGCAGAGTGGCTTTTCAAAGCATTTTTTAAAAAAAGCTTCCCTGACAATCCCGGCTGAGTTGCCTGATCGGCAGAGGCTTTTCAAAGCATTAGAAAAAATGCTTTGAATATATATATATATATATATTTTAAAAAGTTGGCCATGCCCACCCAGTCACATTACCTCCCCCCCACCAACCCACACCTACAGAACCGGTAGTAACAAATTTTACATTTCACCCTTGCACTGAGAGCGTATGCACCAAAGACAAATTCCTTGTGTGTCCAATCACACTTGACCAATAAAGTATTCTATTCTATGATGGTGATGTCACACCAAGTGCAGCTGGTAGGATGAACAGGGCCAGAAGGAAGCGTTAAATAAAACCAAAAGTGAGTGAGGACACTCATTCTCTCTTGACACACACACACATCTCTTCCAAGGACCTCTTTATCCATGGTCCCAGCTGAACGCGTACCCTGTTTGCAATTGGCCTGAGAGCTACATGAAATTAGCCTGAAGGTCACACATGACCTTAAAACAAGAAGTCAGAGTTGGGCAACCTGTGATTCTCAGGACCTGCAGCCTTCCAATTTCCTCAGGGCAACTCAAGCATCTGGTCACAATTGCTGAAAACTGAGAGCACCGTTTCCTACCATCTTGAGATGGGAAACACTGACTGAGTATATAGTCTGAATCCTAAATGAGTTAGAAAACAAAAGATTTCCCAATTCTTCCTCCAAAACCTTCCTCCGCGTGTTGTATGGCCTCACCTATTTGATGGACAGTCCTTCTGTTCATTCCTGTTCTTTAAGTCGTCGGACCATGTATTACTCAAAACGTAGGAAAACATTTAATGATGAATCAACTCCTTGCCATCTCTGATTGGCAGCTTTCCCCCCCCAAGTTTTCAGATCAGAATGTTTTCCCACCCTACTTGGAATCAACTCTTTGGTTAGAAATGAAATCCTTAACCACTGTCTGGAGATTGGATTTCAGGTCTTTTTACTCCTCAATGAGTGCTTGTTATTGTACTGTTACTGTAATTTTATCATTTTCAATGGATGTTCCAGTTTAAAATCAATTCTCTCTCCCTCTCTCTCCCCCCTCTCTCCCTCTCTCTGTCTCTGTCTCTCCCTCTCTCTCTCTCTGTCTCTCTCCTTTTCCCTGTCTCTCTCTCTCTCCCCTCTCTCTGTCTCTCTGTCTCTCCCTCCCTCCCTCTCTATCCCCCTTTCTCTCTCTCTCCCTCGCTCCCTTCCTCTCTGTCTTTCTCTCTCTCTCTCTCCCCCTATCTCCCCCGTCTCTCCCTCTCTCTCCCTCTCTGTCTCTCTGTTTGTCTCTCTCTCCCTCCCTCTCTCTCCTCCCCTTTCTCTCTCTGTCTGTCTCTCTCCCTCCCTCCCTCCCTCTCTCCCTCTCTCTCTCCCTCTCCCTCCCTCCCTCCCTCTGTCTCTGTCTCTCTGTGTGTGTGTCTCTTCCTCCTCCTTTCTCTCTCTCTCTGTCTCTCTGTGTGTCTCTCCCTCCCTCCCCTCCCTCTCTCTCCCTTTCTCTCTCTTCTCTCTCTCTCCCTCTCCCTCCCTCCCTCCCTCTGTCTCTGTCTCTCTGTCTGTGTGTCTCTTCCTCCTCCTTTCTCTCTCTCTCTGTCTCTCTGTGTGTCTCTCCTCCCTCCCTCCCTCTCCCTCTCTCTCTCTCTCTCTCCCTTTCTCTCTCTCTCTCTCTCTCACACACATTCTCTTTGCTGGTTTTTAATGGCTGCTTCACAGCCTTTTATTGTTGTATATGTTGAAAATAAATTTGTAAAGAATGCCAACAAGTTTGCGGCCTGAAATACCTTGAAAATCTCTACCTTTCCTTCCCAGAAGTTCTCTTTTTCACCATGAAAAGTCGAACTGGAAGCTCTTAGGAACTAGTGACTCCTTTTCCCCTTTTGGGTTGGACTCCCAGAGATAAAAAAACATTTTCTGTATATCGGATGAAAGGACTTGCTTCAAAGTAAACGATTGCATTGCGTTGTGTTGCATTGATATTTTTTCTCCTTATTATAGCCTCGAAGGAGAAGCCATGGGGGAACTTGTTAGATTTGGGCAGAATTTTGGCCTAGGAGCAGCTGGTGGATTTCAGGATAAAATGGTTAGTGATAAATAACATCACCTTAATAACAAAATCCAATGTTTCATTCCAAAGAAAACCATTTTGGGAGGAGCTAATAGAACATGCATTTGTCCAGAGAACTGATGTCTAGTTAGACAGGCCTGATTAAAAAATAATCTGATATAGAATAAATCCACCTAAGAAACACTTTCCAACTTTTATATCGTCCCTAATCCTGTTCACAGTTATAATCCCAGATGCATTGCTACACCTTGATCTCTCTCTCTCTCTTTTAAACTCCCCTTCCCTACAGATGTCCCTGAGTAGATCCTGTTGTTCAATTTCAAATTTTCATCTGTATCCCAAACACAACCTGGAGTGGTGCTCTGTGGCCTAGAGTGGAGCTCTCGCCTCACAATCAGGAGGCTGTGAGTTCGATCCTATGTAGAGGCAGATATTTCTCTCTCTGGGCACGTTGAGAATACTGTATTTTTCGGACTATAAGACGCACTTAGCTTTTGGGGAGGAAAACAAGAAAATAAATCTGCCTCTGCCTCCCAGCAATTTGCCTCACTGCAGCAAACAGCAAACAGCCTGGTCAGCTTCAGCACAGCCTGATTTAGCACGAGTAGCTGATTGGCGGTTGGATCGGCCTCCTGGAATACCACCTATCAGCTGTTCCAGGGTGCAGGAATCACCACCACCACTGCTGTCATCGCCGCCCATTGCTGCCACCTATCGCCGCCTCCACGTGCCCCATTTTTAGCCTCCGCGCATTCCATTTTCGGCCTACACCCACCCCATTTTTGGAGTCCAAATGCCCCATTTTTGGCCCGATCCAGGCAGCGGGGATAGGTGGTGGCGATCCCCGCCGCCTGGAATGGGCCGAAAATGGGACATGTGGAGGCCAAAAATGGGGCGTGCAGAGGCGGCGATAGGTGGCAGCAATGGGCAGCGATGACGGCAGCGGTGACAGTGATCCCCATAGCCTGAAACAGCTGATAGGCAGTATTCCGGGAGGCAGATCCAACTGCCAATCAGCTGCTCGTGTTAAATCACACTGTGCTGAAGCTGTCCAGGGTGTTTGCTGTTTGCTGCAAGGAGGCAAATTGTTGGGAGGCAGAGGCCGGCGGGTGGGGGCCAACGGGTGAGTGGGCCTTTGGCAACATTCGCTCTATATGACTCACAGACATTTCCACCTACTTTTTTTGGGGGGGGGGGAGTGCATCTTATATACCGAAAACTACGGTATATCTGCTGAAAAAAACTCCGCATTGGCGACAGGAAGGGCATCCAGCCAGTAAACACTCTGCTCCATTCAGTTGCCCAGACTCCACCCCGCAAGGAATTATGGGGTCATTAAAAGGAGATGATCCCAAGCACAGCCTGTAGATCACTGTAATTTTGGCAAGGGTCCCAGCTTCTGGTTCAATATAGTTATATTTCTGTGTCTTCGTCCATTTGTGAAACTATACAGAACCTTCCATATGTTCAGCCTCAAATTTGCAAACGGGAGAAGGCAACCACTCATCATAGGGAACAGTAAACGTACTGTTAATTTTTCCCCCCCTTTGTTTTCTGTCAATCTTCAACAATGGTTATCTAATTTCCAAACAAATCACTCCCTTGTGTCTTAATTTCCAGCTGTTTATGTCCAGCGACCATAAATCATTTCAGAATATGGCCAAGAAATCTTCTCTCCAGCCTGTCTTCATGACGGATGAACTTTCATACCTGTGTGCCTGGCAAATTACCTTCCTGGATCCACAGTTACGCCTGGAATATGAAGGTTTGCCAATCCCTGTAAGAAAACATCTGCATTTGTAAAGAGAGAATGTGAGTGTGCGAGAGAGAGCTTTAAGGGAAGCCATTCTGAATTTCCCAAAGGTCTTTTTTCCAAGGGGCAACTTGAGTTTCTTCGTTTTTCCTTGAAGACTTTTCACTTCTCATCCAAGAAGCTTCTTTAGTTCTGGAACGGAACTGAAGAAGCTTCTTGGATGAGAAGTGAAATGTCTTCAAGGAAAAACGAAGAAATAGAATAGAATAACAGAGTGGGAAGGGACCTTGGAGGTCTTCTAGTCCAACCCCTTGCTTAGGCAGGAAACCCTACATCACTTCAGACAAATGGTTATCCAACCTCTTCTTAAAAACTTCCAGTGTTGGAGCATTCACAACTTCTGGAGGCAAGTTGTTCCACGGATTAATTGTTCTCACTGTCAGGAAATTTCTCCTTAGTTCTAGATTGGATCTCTCCTTGATTAGTTTCCACCCATTGCTTCTTGTCCTGCCCTCAGGTGCTTTGGAGAACAGCTTGGAGTCAACTTCTTTGTGGCAACCCCTGAGATATTGGAAGACTGCTATCATGTCTCCCCTGGTCCCTCTTTTCATCAGACTAGACATACCCAGTTCCTGCAACCGTTCTTCATATGTTTTAGCCTCCAGTCCCCTAATCATCCAGTTGCCTTTTGAAAAAACAGCAACTTTGGGATAACCATGATCTGGCTGACTGAGAATCTCCATAGACATTCTCAACTTCATGCTTAGCTTTGTGGGTAGATCGGTCTTAAATGTCCTCTTCAACTTTACCAATCCCATCCAACACTTCTCCAGTTTCCATAATGCTCCTTTTTCTACAGCTTTTGAAATAAGCTAATATTCTGCTTATCTATCTATCTATCTATTTCCTGCTTCTGAGCTTTTGTTCTTCAGGACCGCATAGATCTGGTTCATGTGCATATATACTTTTAGAAGGAAATATTTTTTATTGAATTATAAAGTATTATAAAATACCAAAATACAAAGTAAATAGAAAAGCAGTGGGGGGAAAGGCAGTGGTGGAATTCAAATTTTTTTACTACCAATTCTGTGGGTGTGGCTTCGTGGGCATGGCAGGGAAAGGATACTGCAAATCCCCATTCCCTCCCCACTCCAGGGGAAGGATATTGGTGGCTCAGCAGACTGATAGCATTGTGATTAACACCAGCTGTCTGCAATTACTGTAAGTTCGAATCTCACCAGGCTCAAGGTTGACTCAGCCTTCCATCCTTTCTAAGGTAGGTAAATTGCCTCCAGTTTGTGGGGGCAATAAGCTGACTTTGTATAAATATACAAAAGTATGAAGGCTATTGCTTAACGCATTGTAAGCCGCCCTGAATCTCTGGAGAAGGGCGGCATATAAATCAAATTTTAAAAAAAAAATCTCCATTCCCACCCCACTCTGGGGCCAACCAGAAGTGGTATTTGCTGCTTGTCCGAACTACTCAAAATTTCCACTACCGGTTCTCCAGAACCTGTCAGAACCTGCTGGATTTCACCCCTGATTCCAACCCCTGAACTGTCAACCTTTCGATCGACAAGTTCAGTGTCTTAGCCACTGAGCCACCGTGTCCCTGGACTATGTATACTTGAATGCAAAACCTGTTTAATAGGAAATATGTTTTATTTTATATTCTATGCTTGAGAATTCTGGGCCAGTATAATTGACTGAAATAAGCAATTGAAATATGGACATTTAAAGCCCCCCCCCCCATTCTTTTTTCCTTTTTTGTAGGCAAATACAAAAGTTGTCATCGTTCACACCCATACAAATCAGGCACTCGCAGTTCCCAGGACCTTCTGGATAAGGTGAGCCCCAGAAGACATCTCCAGATCTACAACCTACATTTAAACTACCGTATTTTTCAGAATATAAAATGCACCTTCCCCCAAAAAAATTTGGGCGTGTCTTATACACTGAATGTAGCCCCACCCACCCACTGGCCCCCACCCTTTGTCCTCTGCCTCCCAGCAGTTTACCTCCTTGCAGCAAGAAGAAACAGGTCGTTTCAGCTTCATCACAGCCTAATTAGCACAAGTTGATTGGATAGGGCTCCCGACTCTCAGCTGTTTTGCGTGGGCCTCTGCTGCTTGCTGCAAGGAGGTAAATTGCTGGGAGCAGATTTTTTTTCTTGTGCTAATCAAGCTATGCTGAAAACGAAAATGAAAGTAAAGCAGGCTGTTTGCTGCAATGAGGCAAAATTGCTGGGAGGCAGAGGCAGATTTCTTTTTCTTGTTTTCCTCACCAAAAAAGGTAGGTGCGTCTTACAGTCCCGAGTGTCTTATACTCCGAAAAATTTCATTTCATTTTCATTTTCATTTATTCGAATTTCTATACCGCCCTTCTCCTTTCGGACTCAGGGCGGTGAACAGCCAGATAAAAAACATCTATACAAACATCACAGTTAAAAAATAAAGTTAAAATAATTTATAAATTTGGCCCATAATTTAAAACTTGTCAATTAAAATAAATATTAAAATTTTTAAAACTAACCCTAAAATCAGGACAGACCGGCTAGCTGAAAAAAATAAGTTTTTAGGGCCCGACGAAAAATCCGGAGGTCGGAGATCACTCGTATCTCTGGGGGTAGATTGTTCCATACCGTAGCTTTAATTCTTTCTCGTGATCAGGGACAGAAGGGGTCTTGGGGGGGTCTCTCAGTCCAACCCCTTGCCCCAAAGCCAGCTTTGGAAAGGCTGTTTTGGAGTTTCTGTTTAGTTTTTTTCCCCCTGTGTGTTGTTTCTCTTTTTCAAGGACATACTTTGGGAAAGAATGCGAAATCAACTGCCACACCTATCTGGATTCCCACAAAGCTGAAGAGAGCAAGAACCACTGGATCATAGTCACGGGGAATCCTAGCGACGATTCGACGACAATGTTCAATAGGCCAAAGCCTCAGTCAGAGGAGACTAGAGCACAGAATACAGAATGCCTATGAAAAAAATCCTCGGAATGAACAGTTAAAACTTGGGGCTTTCGTGAAAGACAAGCAGGAGAAAAAACTAACAGCATGATGTTGATGATGAAGAAGAAGAAGAGGAGGAGGAGGAGAATGAAGAAGGGATTAAAGGTATATCGAAACATAATAGCAGCGTAAACTGAATAACTTTCAAAATTCATGATTGAATCTTGAATAAAAATGATGATAAAAACGATTTTCTAACTTCCACCTTCTTTTGTTTTGACCACAGGATGGCAGCATCACTCTATAAGAAAATATTCTCTCTCTCTCTCTCCCTCTCCCTCCCTCCCTCTCTCTCTCTCTCTCTCTCCCTCCCACCCTTTCTCTTTCTCTCTCTCTCTCTCTCTCCCTCCCTCTCTCTTTCACTCCCTCTCTTTCCCTCTCTCTCTCCCTCCCCCCTCCCTCTTTCTCTTTATCTCTTTCTCTCTCTCTCTCCTCCCTCCCTCTCTCTCTTTCTCTCTCTCTCTTTCCCTCCCTCCGTCCCTCCCCACCTCTCTCTTTCTCTCTCCTTCTCTCCCTCTCTTGTGTATTTTACTTTATCTTCTTATTTACATAAGAAGATAAAGCTATAGCTGACTTTCTCTATTGGGCAGCTTCTAGATCTGTTGGTACTAAAGCACCCATAATTCCCCTTCGGAAAACACATAGGGAATTCTGGGAATGGTTGTCCAACCGTATTTAGAGAGTGATCCATTGGAGAAAGCCCACGAAACTTAAAAACAGTGTTTCTCTGCCCCACCCCTGGGCTGCCAGCCATTTTGGCACGAAGAAGTGAGGATGGTGGAAATATTTATAGAAATGAATTACCAATGGAAAGGATGCTTACTGTATATCCTTCTTGTTTTTCTTCGTAGCAGGAAAACAAAGCAGTTTAGAAAGACAAATGCTTGGAGGAATATTCCAGGACAGAATTCGTGGAAACAGAAGAGCCCTATCCATCCCCCTCTTACTCATGTCAATCATCTGCCTTGCTGTCCAAAAAAAAAAAAAAAGAGGAAAAGATGTGGAACTCCCTGCCTCAGGAAAGCAGCTGAACCGTTCTCCTCTCATTCCTTTCTTAGGAAGGCTTTCATTCTACAGCAGGGGTCTCCAAACTTGGCAACGTTAAGCCATGTGGACTTCAACTCCCAGAATTCCTCAGCCAGGTCTCCAAACTTGATAACTTTTAAGACTCGTGAACTTCCAACTCCTAGAATTCCCTAGCTGAGGAATTCTGGGAGTTGAAGTCCACAAGTCTTAAAAGTTGCCAAGTCTGGAGACCCCTGTTCTATATAGACAAAAGGCCATTGTGATGGCCTATGAGCTACTCCAACCACAATCTTCTTTTCTGTAATATTTTTATGTTGGTTTTGTCTCCCTTTTTAAACAGTTGTACATTTCCCCTGGAATTTTGTGAGCTCTCCTGGGCAGTTGCGTTGTAAGCCCTGGAAGCACTGGATAGAAATTTGTACATAAAAATTACATAAATATGCCTGGAGGAACATACCTGAACGAAATCTGCGGCTGGCTATGCTCTCTGTCTCTGAGATCTTCTAAAGCCAACATTTCCGTCTTGGACCGAAAATCCCACAACTGGCCAAGGAGTCTGGAGCGGGGGGGAAGTGAGAAGCTGTTGGAGGAAGCTGCTCTCAGGCTTTTGTGAAGTTGGAGGCCTCTTCCGTAAATGATTCATTCAAAAATAAAAAACCTGGAAAGCATTTACTTTCTGGCATGGCTGTCGAAGGATGAGCTATACTTTTTGAGGGTGAATTTAGGCAGACACATTCCTGCTTTGTGTTTGCAGAAAGTATCGGGGGGTGTGGGGGGAGAGAGTGGTCCTGCTGACTTATGTCAAGAGATACCCCCTGCCACACATGGAAACTTGGAAGAAAACGGAACAAAGCTGGACCACCCAGAACAAGGTTCAATGCAGCTTATCAGGATTTCTACACGAGGGACTGTTTTATTTGCTCCCTCCGGATGTGCCCCATTGGCAGAAGTCATCCGCTTCTCTTCCCAAAAGGCAGCATTGACGTCCCAGCCTCTGTCCCAATGGGGAGACAGTAGCAAAACGAGGAGAGTTTATGAAAAGCAGAGGGTGACTGTTTTACTATTTAAATTGTACTATTTCATGTAAACTGCAAGGTGATCAAATGGTCAGTCTTAGAGGAGATCAACCCTGACTGCTCTTTAGAAGGCCAGATCCTGAAGATGAAACTGAAATGCTTTGGCCACCTAATGAGAAGGAAGGACTCACTGGGAAAGATGGAGGGCAAAAGAAGAAGGGGACGGCAGAGAATGAGGTGGCTGGATGGAGTCACTGAAGCAGTCGGTGTGAGCTTCAATGGACTCCAGAGGATGGTAGAGGACAGGAAGGCCTGGAGGAACATTGTCCATGGAGTCACAATGGGTCGGACACGACTTCGCAACTAACAACAACAAATTTCATTTAAAGGACTAGGGAGTGACATGATAGCAGTGTTCCAATATTTGACAGGCTGCCACAAAGAAGAGGGGGACACCCTACTCTCCAAAGCACCAGAGGCCCCGACGAGAAACAACAGATGGAAATTAATCAAGGAGGGAAGCAATTAAGTAGAAACTTCCTAACAGTGAGGACAGTTAACCAGTTGGAACAGAAGTTGCCTTCAGAAGTTGTGGGCGCTCCATCACTGGAGGTTTTTAAGAAGAGACTGGACAGCCACTTGTCTGAGATGGTATAGAAGCAGTGTTTTCTCAACCTTGGTAGCTTGAAGATGGGTGGACTTCAACTCCCAGAATCCCCCAGCCAGCAGCGCTGGCTGGGGGATTCTGGGAGTTGAAGTCCACCCATCTTCAAGCTACCAAGGTTGAGAAACACTGGTATAGAGTTTCCTGCTTGGGCAGGGGGTTGGACTAGAAGACCTCCAAGGTGCCTTTCCGCTTTATTCTGATCAACTCCGTCTCCTTCCCCTTTCTGATTCATCCTTATAGCATTTCACTCAGATTGACTGACTAAAAGATGATTGTGTGGCTAGTCCTTGGCAGAAAATGTTAACCTGTGTGATTTTTCTACAAGATTCCCTCCTGTTCTGTTGAATGAAAATGAACCTGCTTTTGATATTTCTTTATGAGAAGTGAATTGTAGGTGGGATTTATAAGGATTGAGCCGGGGTGTTCTTGCATTTGTTTCGATGGCCAAAGGTTGGGTATTAATCTCTTTCTTTCTACAAGCCTTTGTCCAGGAATCAACACAGGCCAAGCTTCCATTTAGTACCAAGGAATCTCACTGGGCTTTTTTTCCTTCCTGCTTTGAAAGTGTGGACAGGCTACAGAATGGTGGAAAAATACATCGCAGAAAACAATGGCCATAGTTGCACAGTCCACCACCTACAACAAGGAAGTCAGCTGAAAATCACCAAGAAGGAATCGTTCAGAAATGTTCAAACAACCCCCAGATAAGGTGGGAACACAAAAGCCTCTTTCATGGGAGGATGAAAAAATTTGAAGAATTGCAAGGCAAGATATGAGAACGCCATTTGTTCTGGCTCTCCATCTGAGGAAGACTTGGCATGCTCCTTTTATTTTTCTCCCAGAGTAGATGTTTCAGTCTTGATGTTCTGTCCTCTCCCACAAGTGACCTTGCACAGTCTCAAATAGCCCCAGTAACAAATGCAGGCTAGAGAGACTGAAGCTGGCCCTTTAATAAATAGTTCTCTTCTAAAGGTATATCAGTCCAATAGTTACCGGGCAATGTTCCAAAGGTCTTGGCAGACAGCCAGCAGGCTAATGCAGGAATGCAGACTCTTGTCAAAAAACTCCAAACTAACAGTTGTAAATCCACTGCATCCAAAACACCAACTAATTGTTCACCACAACTTTCCAGCCCAATCACACCCCTTTTATACTTTGTAGGGTGTGGCCCTACGTCTCCTGACCACACCTCTTGGGACGTGGCAATAGCTGTTCTCTATGACGTCTCCTACGTCTTTCTCTTGCATCCAATAGGGGCTCCCCCTCGTCGTTACCGGCCTCTGTTTCCTCCTCAATTTGGCTGGGGTCCAGAGGCATGTCAGCAACTGTCAGTTCTTGCTGACTCACCAGTGAAGATGGCCCCTCCGGCACATAGCTCGTGACAGCTTCCTCCTCCTCCATATCATCCTCCGACTCAGCATGCGAAGATAAATACAGCCTCCGGGGCCGGGGTCACAACACTTGACTTGTCCATCCTTGAAGAGCAGGCGCAGAAGAAAAAGACGATCATCGTAGAGTTCTGTAGTGAAGGCAAAGCAACCATCAACACACAGTATTCCACACTTGGAATACTTTACTGGTTGTCCAGTTTTGGTTGCCATGATACAAAAAAAGATGCTGAGACTTTAGAAAGAGTGAAGAGAAGGGCAAGAGAAGGTTAGGGGACTGGAGGCTAAGCTGTACAGTGAATGGTCGTGGGAAATGAGAACGTCTGACCTAATGAAGCGAAGGAGCTGGGGTGAATTGATAGCAGTCTTCCAATATTTGAGGGGATGTCACAGAGATGAGGGGGTCAACCAGGGGTGAAATGCTCCCGGTTTGGACCGGATCGCCCAATCCGGTAGCGACAGCGGTGGATGGTTCGGAGAACTGGTAGCAGAAATCCTTGCCCCCCCCCAATGCCCAGCTGAGCCGCACGATCATCAGAGGTTTTTTTTTTTTATGTTTAATAGCATTTTTTCTACAAATGCTTTTAAAAGTAAAAAAAAAAAAAGCCTCTGATGATTGCTCGGCTCAGCTGGGATCGTCAGAGCCTTTTAAAAGCATTTTTTTTCTACAACCTCTTGAAGAGGTTGTAGAAAAAAGCTTTTAAAAGAAAAAAAAAGTTGGCCACGCCCACCCAGTCACATTACCCCTACCAAGCCACGCCCACAGAACCAGTAGTAACAAATTTTACATTTCACCCCTGGGATCAACCTATTCTCCAAAACACCTGAGGGCAAGACAAGAAGAAACGGAAGCTAACCAAAGAGAGAGCCAGCCTAGAATTAAAAAGAACTTTGCTGACAATGAGAACAATTAAATAGCGGAACAGCTTGTCTCAAACTGTGGGTGCTCCATCATTGGAGCATTTCAAGAAAAGATTGGACAGCTATTTGTCTGGAATGTTATAGGGTTGTGATGGCGAACCTATGGCACGCGTGCCACAGGTGGCACACAGAACCATGTTGCCTGGCACGCTGGCTCAGCACTCAGCCTC